CCCCGGCAGGGCCGCGGCTCCGTGAGTACCGCTCCCCCTGCCCCGCCGCCGGCCCCGCGTGCCGCCGCCCGCCCTGCCCGGGCCGGGCCCTTCCCTGCAGCCGCTGAGCCGGTGCGGAGCGCCGACCCCGCCGCTCGGCGCCCAGGCGGGGATCCCCGCCCCGCCAGGCTCCCCATGTCCCCACAGCCTGCTGGGGAACCTTGCTAACGAGAAAAATAGATAGATTGTTTCCTTATACCTATCAAATCTATATAAATATATGTCTCTGTTGAGCTAGACCAGGGACTCGGATGGCCGCGGACACCTCTCCGGCAGCCACGGCGCTGGAGCCGCGGTGACGCAGCGCCGGCGATGCTCGCAGGTGCCACCCTGCTGCTCCCGTTACCTGCGGACTGCAGTCCCCGCGTGGAAATAAAAACATTCCCGTAAAAACGATTTTAATTTTAATTATACAACCGAGGTCATTAGTGTATATATATATATATATATAAAGGCTGTACGCGCAGAGGGCGCTGGGGTAATTCCGTAGCGAAGTGCCGAGTGGCGGTGCCGAGGCTCCGCACCGTCCCGCCCCGGCCGCGCAGGTTGGGGGGCACCGCGGGCCTCTCTCCCTGCGGCGGGCAGCGCTCCCGCCGCGCCGGGGAGCCCCGCCGGCTGCCGCACCCCCGGGGAACGGGGAATCCCCCTCCCAGGCTCTAGACCCTGCCGGACAGGGACTTGGTTTTGTTTGTCATTATTCTCATTATTTTCTCTGCGAAGAGCCAGGCGGTTTCACGCGGAGATATAAAGTTGGATCGCCAATAACCGGAAGTTAAAATGCAAACGCTTCACTAGGAAGCGTTTCACGCAGCTGGTGCAAAATCACTTTTATTTTTTATCTGCGGGAAGGAAAAACAGTTTTATGATTTTTTTTTTTCCTGTGAGATAGCACTGTCATCAAAATACAGATGCTTTTCCTACATCAATGATTTTTCACTACAGCCTAAGGGCCTCTTGGCTTTAAAGCTCTAGTTATTTTTGCTAATATATCAAGAATTTAACTCCTAACTATTTCATAAATCAACTCCAGATGCACTGTACAGTACTTATATACTTATTTTCAGACGTACATTCTGGCTCAGTAGATTGCCAACTCACCATTTCAGTGCTTCAAAGTGATGATGCTGGGAATTGTCAGCTCTGAAGACAAGGTTAGCTCACAGGAGCAGAATGTACTGTGTAAAATGCTAATTTATGAAAGTGTTACAATCCATATATCTTGCAGGTCGAATTGCATGCGTTATATGATCAGAAATACACAGAGGATTGATCTGCCAGTGCTTATTTTAAAGCAGAATTCATGTTGTCTCCAAAGGTGAGGGTGCCAGTGATGTACTGGGGCAGAAGCTAGAAGGTGCATCTTTCAACCCACCCCAGCCTGGAGAAGCTGTGGCAAAGCACTCCTGTACCCTGATAACAAACCCCCGTGGCCTTACCCTCACCCCAACATTGCTGGGAGCAGTGAGCACCCTGCCCTGCCCAGGATGAAAAATATCTCCTGTGAGCCAATAGATGCCCTACTCATTTTTAAAAATCTTTTCTCACTTTGATGGGCTCCTGACCAGCAGATGACACATCCTGAGGCCTATGAGCTGCTGAGGGTGTTGCTTTCCCGTAAACAGTTGCTCTCTGAGAAGCCTCAGTAGCCTCTGCAGCCAAGGGGACTCTGGGGGGCTCTCGCAGACTCCATTTTACCATCCTCCTGCCAGCCTGTGGGTAGTCTTTCCTATTGTAGGTAGGCCTGTGGTGCTCATATGAAGGTGACATCCAGCTCCAAGTTTGCAGTTAATCAAGTCTACTCGGTGAAGTTGAACAATTTAATCAGTGTGTGATGAAGCCTTGGATGTATCTGAGCTGTATCACATTATCTTCAAATCTAAAGCAATCGTCAGAGATTAGATGGGGGGAACTAATGACACAGTGGTAGTTCCTGCCCTGATCCTGCGAGAAATGCTGTGCAGTCACATCACAGTACAGCAGTGTGAGCACAGCAGCCTGTACTGTGTGTGGTCATTGCACGGCCAAGGCCGTGGTAAGTCTCCTATTCCCGGGACGCTGTCATGCTGTTTAGTAACCAGATTACAGCTTGGGTACGCATTACTTAGCAACCCTTGCCAGGAATGCTTTTCGTCTGCCTGGTGAGAAGGCTGGGACTCTTCCTTCAGGGGCACTATCAGATAAGTGTCCTGTCGCTTGTGCGCGGAGTTTTTGTGATACGGTGGCAGGGCGATGGGAGCTGAAGGCCACTTAGATGTGGCACCGAATGGCACTGTGTGACTTGGCCCTGTTTCTTGCAGAAAACACATTCCACCCATGTTTCATGCCCTGCCCAGCCTGCTGCTTCATCTCCAGGAAGGAGGAGAGGAGGGAGGAAGGAGGAAGAAGGTTGTTTTTGGTTAAGGTGCTACTGTCTTGGGACCTGGTTATTTTATATAGTTTCTTTCCAGTTCCAGGTTAATACAACGATTTTGATGAGCTGACGTACAGAAAATGGTATCCCTGTCCGGTCTGATGTCTTCTTGGTCAAGTCCAGTCTGTGTTTATTGCTTCTCAAATGGTAGATGGATTTGCTGGGTTTACAGATCTTCCCTGGGGTGACAGCGCTGATTGTCCATGCAGGAATGGACAAATAGAGTTGAAGTTATTTACTTTGTGAATAATATAATAATTTTTTTTTCTGAGTACCAGTTTGATTAAATAGTTTGGTTTGGGGTTTTGGCTGGGGTTTTTTTGTTGTTGTTTTTTTTTTTTTTATGAGTATAATGGTGCTGAAAATGTAAAAAGTAAATAATTAGACTTATAAAATAGGGCATTTATTTATAGTGGTCTAATTGAAGGTGTTCCCCTTGTTAGTGTTAAAGTAGAATAATCTTATTGTACAGGCAGCTGTAGAAGTAAGAAAGTACTTTAAACTAGTAGATTTTTCACGCCTGCTCTCTTTATGAAGCGCCGTCTTGCTTTTCCGCTGGTCTGACACATGACTGCCAACCTGGCTCGATCGGGAGTCTCCATGTCCACCTAGGCTGGAAGGCACATCCGGACGGCCGGAGGCGTTGCCGGCTGCCGGCGGTGATGGCAGAGCCCCGCTTTTCCGGCAGCTCCAGGCCTTGCCAGGGCACGTCAGTATTTCTTGTCCCTCACTTTCGGGGTGTCTTCCCGGTGCGGGGAACCCCCAAAGCCGGTCAAACCCTCCCGCGGGCGAGGAGCGCACCCCACGCCGGCGGTGCGGGGCGGTGCGGGGCGGTGCGGGGCGCCGGGCTCAGCGCCACCGGGAGCTGCTGAAGTGAGAACTTGAAAGGAGCCGTCGGTGGCGAGAAGAGGCGGACAAAGCAAGCGCCGAGCTACCGAACGCGGCGCTCTGCCGGCGAGTTTTAAGGCGCTTCAAGTCTAAAGAAGAAGTGACAGGGCAATCATCTCCCCGGCTTGGCTGCGGATGGGAGGGTGGAATCTTGCTAACAGCTCGCGTATCTGTATATTTAATTGCGACCTGGCTGCATGTTCCTGTTGAGGAAGGATGCAGATCACAAGCGAATCTATAAAAACGCAGTTGACAAGCCAAGGAAAGGGATAACTGACAGATGAAACGACAGTCAGCGCGGAGCTAACTGGCAAACGCATCGGTACAAAGTCAGATACCTTCTTAGAGGAGTAGTAGTTTGTTTTATTCCGGTTCTCCAGAGTTTTATCTACTGTCGATGTGATGGGGTAGAGAGGAGCTAATGCGCCCTGTTTAGGATACACACATGCAGATTAGATCAGGCTTCAGACACCGTGTTTCACTCAAGACTTAGAACAGTTAGAGGAATAAACCAGGCTTCACCCACCTAGGAAAACATGGAATTTTCTTTTAATGATTTAAAGGTGATTTACACTTGTTTAAACACAACCGTTTCACATACGGATAGAGGGAGCTATCGGGAGTTGATGGGGTCGGGAGCTGGGGCCCGGAGCTCGCCACCACCGTTATGCGAGGCTGGGGCGCTGGGAATACCAGCCCAGCTCCCGTTTTCTTCACTTTTGTGTTACTTTAAGTTTTCAATGAGGCTAGTGTAATTACGAGGCGTTTAACTTTTTGCCAGGCTCTTTCATTATGGGTTTGCATTTGCACCTCGCTTTTAAGAGAAGTAATAACATTCACAGTCAGGGGCAAATCCTGTTAATGAACAAATTAAAGTTCAAACAGTTATTCAAGTTCACAGCCCCACTCGCTGCTCCTTTAATAAGAGTTATACATGTTACTTTCTCTCGGGATCACTCCCCCTTTTATTACTTTTTAAGCTTTTCATAAGCACTAGCGAGCTATACGCGCAGCTCCCAGCCTCTAAAGAGCCCACAAATCCTGAAGGGAGCCCTAATCCGACCTTAATTTGGCAACTTTTGTAAAAGACATAAAAGCTCGGGTGCCACCCTTGTGCGCTCAGATTATAATGTCAGGGGACAAGCCGGGGGAAGGCTCCCTCTATCCCGCACCCACCTATTTGAGTTGGCTCCCTCCCTTCCGGAGCTGTTCAAAAAGCCTCCGTTAGTCCCTCACGGGTATCAGAAGAGAAGTAAGGAAGTCTGATTGATATCCTGGGAATTTTCACCCCCTCTTACGATAGCTCTACTTGGCACGTCCGGCACCGCTGCCCTTGGGCCGGAGCCCGTTGCCTGCCTTCAAGAGGTAGCAACGTGGAGTTAAAAACAAAACAACACCCACCCACCCCCGAAAATATAAATCCTTGCGCTCTTCTTCTCTTCCCGCCCCTCTTCTTTTTCTCCAAACCTTGCGCTATTAGAGTGTCTGCGCTCCCCTCGGCATTTGCGTAACATGAATCGAAATTCCCCTTGTCAGGGGCTGCCCGAGCCCGGGGGAGCCGCGGGTCCCGGTGAGACCGGGCGGGGAGCGGAGCGACCCCCCCGCAGAGCCGGGCTCCGGGCCGGGGGGCGGCGGGCAGAGTCCAACAAAGCCCGGAGAGTTTGACACTGGTTCACGGCAGCGCCGGTGCAAAAGCGCCGTCTATGTACAAATAAAGGAGATCACACTCCCCATTATCTACCTCCTGGCGAGTGTTTGATTTGTGACATCAAAAGCTTATCAAGGCAAGCTCACAAAAAAAAAAAGAGAAAAAAAAGCACCTCTTCATGGAGGGAGATCGCTGCGGTTTGGGTTGGGTGATGTGGGGAAAAGAGGAGGGGACTGGTACTAACAAAACGCCGCCGGTGCCAGGGAGGCGATTTCTGCCCCGCCCGTGTGCCCGCAGGCCGAGCGGCGGGGCTGGTGCGGGGCCGGCCGCGGGTGCGGGGCGCTGCCGCGGGCGCGGGGCGCTGCCGCGGGCGCGCAGAGCAGCGGACGGGCGGGCTGGCCCCGGCGGAGGGCTGGAGGGAGGCCCTGATTCCTCGCAGCCATCCACACAGAAGTGGTTTGATATAATCACCATGACAACTGCCGCCTATAAGCATACAAATAATAGAGATGAAATAGACAAAAGATTAGCATGCCATGAAAAGTACAATAAGTTTCTTATTTAGCATTTAGATAACTGTCTTTCCTTCGGAGCAGGCTTCAAAGTTGAACCCAGTTTAGACCAAGAGGATTAATTCTTTCTCCTGCATGCTTCATTGAATCTCTCATTACCAAACTTTGTCTGTATTGATGTAAGATTTGATTGAAGATTAGAGCATTTAGCAAATCTTGCTTTTCTGCATGTATCAGGCCTTTTCAAGCGCAGACCGTGCTGCCCAGTGGTCAATACCCTTACTTTTATCCAGTGTCTGCTTCATTTAAACTTAATCAACTCCCTCAATGAACTGGAACAGGGAAACGTCCCTGAGGTAAGAATGTTGTGCTGTTCTTAGATAATTCTTTGCTCCCTCTCCGAATCCGCTGGCGTTAAACCTAAAATTGCTCTCTGATGAACTTAATCAATATGATAATGACAATTGGGGCTGAATGGCTCGGCCTGGGCTCGGCACGGAAAAGGTAGATGGCTGTGCCCATAGCCTAAAAGCAACTTCTCCTTTCTCGCCTCTTCTTTTGTGTGCACTGCTCCCACCTTTCTTTCTCTCTCTCTCTCCCCCTCTTCCCCCCTCTCCGTGACACCGACCGCTGCTCACGCTGGAGAATGATGCTTCTTTGTGCGGCAGGAGGACTCGTATGTCACCGCCCGGAGGAGCGGAGCGGAGCGATTGGCCGGGTGAATTATCTGCCTTGTTGCAGTGAATTATTTGCACTGTTTCCTTTCCCAGTCAACAAGTTTCTGAGGTATAGCGCAGATCAATCAAAGCTGACAGAGCGCATGTGAAGCTTTTACTGTGTAAATCTGGACCTCTTGTCCCGGCTTCGTTGGCACTGGCATCTGTATATCATTTTTATACTGCTACCAGTAGAGCAATTTCAAAAGTATTTGCAAGGAAAATGGATGTCCCCATCTGTTCCTGGAATCATAAATGTGCCACTTTCGGAGGGTTTTCACTGGTAATCATATCTTTAATGATGAACAAACTTGTGATATATACCTTTCCATAAAATGGGGTTTTCTTCACTTTATTGTGATTGGCTGGGATAAATAGCTTTTCCATATGTTAGGAAGATAAAACATAAGATTACCAGACCTCGTTTGTTTGATCATAAACAAAAGAAACAATTCGCTCCAAACACTCTTTAAACAGAAACAACTGCAGAATTAAATTGTATTAACAAGCTATCGATGGGTCATGAGGCAAGCAACTGTCTCCGTGGAAAAGACAGCTGGTTTAAAATACGAGTAGTCGGTCCTTCTCCCTATTCGGGTGACCTTAATGCAGACGTGGATTTTAAATACTCGATGCTAATTTTAATTTTGTTTTTCTTTATATATCTTTATCTCCATATTTTTTTCTCCAGCTTGACTTTGAATTTCATTAAGTGCCAGGACGAGGATGCGGTGCTGGGTAGTGCATTGCCGTGTGCTATATTTAGAAAGCAGCTGGAAGAGAAAATGTCCTCAGGAATCCGGACTGTTTTGTTGAAAGTGTCCCTCCAGTCCCAGCACTGTAAACGTAAACGCTCGTTCTACAGGCGTGTCAGCGCTTGGCGCTACCTGGGAGAGCTGGGTAAGGATGGGTTCGGGGAGCCACTGCTGACTCCACGGCACTGCCCAGCAGCCTTGGCGGTGTCCTACGGCGATGAGAGGTGCCACGGACAGGGCTGCCCGGCGGCGTGGCTGCCTGCGCACCCTCGCGGTGGGGGGCAGAGGTGCCTGGGTTTCTCCCTGCCAGAGGTACATCCTCTCCGCCCGGGGGAACCGGCAGGTTGCATGCACCCATTTCTCCGTGCAGAGCGCCTCAGCCGCGAGGTTCACTGCCCGGTGCTCCGAAAGGGACACTCCACTTGCATTTCGGTGGGGCAGCGCTCTCCTCCCGCCACGGCCGCGGGCCGGGCAGTCCGCGCCCGCGGGCACCAGAGCGCAGCGGCGGGTCAGGTGGCACTTACAGTCCTCCCCCTCCCTGGAAATTCAGCAGCAACAGCACCCCCAGACCCACCGCCCACCCCCCGCGTGGAGTGAAGGTTGATGCTTAAACGGGGTCTCGTGCGCTGAGGCTTGGCCCTTCGGGAATGGGGACAGACCGTGCCGGAGGGACACCCCGCCTGGCTGTTACTCGGGGTGGAAGCTCCAACGGCCTCGGAACAGCCCCGGGGTGCTCTCTCCTCCGCGCCTTGAGACCCCGCGCCCGAGGCAGGTTCCCCCGTCCCGTGTAATGCTCCCCCACAACCTCGCTGCCCCTTCCTCTCGGCCAGTGCCCCTCGGTGGGCACGCAGATCCCGGGGCAGCGCTAAGTAGGCGGTTCCCAGCTGAGAGTACAGCCAGCGGCTGCTTCCAAGGGGGCGGCTTCCCACCCACACTCGCCCGCCCCACACGGGGCTCTCGCGGCAGTGGGGATGAGTCGGTATCGGCGGGCGGGAATTGGCCAAGTTAACGTTTCTTAAGGCCACAAGAGACCATTAAATCATCTACCTGACCTCTCGTGTTACAAGGCCGTATAATTCCATCCAGTCCTAAGGCATTAAGCCAAATAATTTGTGTTTGAGTAAAATGTGCCTTCCAGAAAGTCTCATGGTCCTGAGGATTTCAAGAAATGGAGATTTTGCTGTTGTCCTGGAGAGTATGTTGTGGCAGTCAACCCTTGGTTAAGGGATGAGCCTCATTTCCATGACACGTTTACCTTGTTTAAATTACTCCCCAATGTCAGGCTTATATTTTGGAGCCTACTAGTACTGTTGTTGCAACTGTGGCCACCTCGGCTTTCCCCTTCCTTTCGCACAGGTGTCATGCCTGGTGTTAGCACAGAGGAGGGCCTGGCTCCATGTCGGGCTGCCTGGGGAATCCAGAGTTATCCAACACCAGACTGCCGTAGCGCTCAGCCTGCCTGGTGACTGTGGCAAGGAAGAGTCCCAGCACCTCAGGCTGTGTAGGCCAATGGGACATACCATTGAAAACCACTGCTCAAAGGGCCTAGTCCTGCCTTACTGTGAAATCATGGGCCAACACCCTTTCTAACCAAGCCAGTGCCCAACGGGAGAAGGATGAGGTACCTTCTTAGGAAGCTCTGCTCTCCACCAGGCACGCAAAGCCTGTGGGTGCCTGGATGCGGGTGGTTGGGCTGCTGTGGGTTCAGAGTATTTGTGGAAGAGGAGAATATTGTATCTGTTGATCATCTAGGGCTCAAAAGATTTTACTTCTCTAGTAAATGGTTGGTGCCTCTGTTGTAGAGCAATGCTGTTGGCAGGCACACTGCAGTAGGATGAAACCAACCCCACTTCAGAGAAGCAGCCCCCCAGCTGCTGGCGCCATCCCGAGATAAAGGAGCTGGACAGAAGCTGAGGAGATGGTGCAGGGTCCCTGCCACCCCCAAGCAACCCCGCTCGTCCCTTTCCCTCTGTGGGATGCATCCCGTGCATCCCAGATGCCCCCGCTCTGGGCGACGTGCCCAGTGTCCCCCGCATGGCTCAGGCCCACGTGGGGAGAAGACATGCCTGGGACTGCGGGTGTCTGTCCCTGTCCGGCCCCATCGCCGCCACCTCTTCTCCTGACACTGGGTTGGGAGTGGGGCGGCGCTCCCGTCGTTACCTGTGGCCCCGGGGGGGGGCGGCCCCCATGCCGCCGATCCCCTTCGAGCGACGCGCCACCACATCTGAGCGCCAGGCAACTGGTTTTGTCGCTTGCTTTAAG